TTTTGGAAACCTTATCTCCAGGGTAATGATCTGGGTTTTCCTACTGGGGTTTGCTCATCCCCCACCCACAGATCTCACACCCCCATAGCTTCATACCAAGGGTCTCCCAGTGGGTTACTCCTTTCATTGCATCTGGAAAAGGATAGAGGTTACTCCCCTCTTCCCCCGATCATCCAAAGCACTCCAGCCCATGCCTAAGCCAATCCCTCCATTACCCCAGTCGGTTTCCAGCAAAACCTCTCCCTGATCGCCAATGTCCTTTATCCCCACGGACAAATTATGTCCATAGTTGCTCCTGAAATTATCCAGTGAGGTATAACCAGCTCCCTCCAGATAAGAGGGCAAGCTGAGGGCATCTCTACAAGCCTCTCTGGAGTTTCTTCCCCTCCATCACTGAAATCTTGCACAGTTTTTCCCCTTCCCTCCAGCCCTGTCCCAGCTGCAAAATTTGGCAAAACCACAGCCCTTCCTCTTGTGTCTGGGTTGCCCACATTGGTAGCAAATAATGGGTCAAACCCCTGATGGAACTTTTCAACAGGGGGAAGAGGGGAGTAACCTCCATCCTTACCCCTTCTGGCTCCAGGTTCCTGAGCCTCTCTCTCTTGTATAGTTGCACATCTTTCCTGGGAAAATCTGCCTTTGCATACTCCTATCTGTTTCATGGCAGCCTCTACTCTGCCTGGTAGATGTTGCTTGACCCACACTCATTGGCTGTGTCTAGACTGACCAGTTTTTCCGGAAAATCAGCCGCTTTTCCGGAAAAACTTGCCAGCTGTCTACACTGGCCGCTTGAATTCCCGCAAAAGCACTGACTTCCTACTGTAAGAAATCAGTGCTTCTTACGGAAATACTATTCTGCAAAAGTCCCTTTTGCGCAAAATTTTTGTGCAAAAGGGCCAGTGTAGACAGCTCAGATTTGTTTTCCGCAAAAAAGCACTGATCGCGAAAATGGCAATCGGGGCTTTTTTGCAGAAAAGCACGTCTAGATTGGCACGGACGCTTTTCCACAAAAAGTGCTTTTGCGGAAAAGCTTCTGTGCCAATCTAGACACTCTGTTCTGAAAATGCTTTTATTGGAAAACTTTTCCATTAAAAGCATTTCCGGAAAATCATGCCAATCTAGACGCAGCCATATGTTCTCAGGGAGGCCCTGAAGAAACTGTTCTAAATATTAGGCGGTATGTCTACTCTGTTGAGCTATTTCGCGTCTATTGAAGCATCCCATTATTTCAAAATACACTTTGAAATAATGGGCAGCTTATTCCGATGTCCCAGCAACCCTTGTTCCAGGAGGTTTATGGGGAAGTTCAGAATAGTGAGTTATTTAGACATTTGGCCCTGTGTAGACATTGCCAAATTACAAAATACGCTATTTTGAAATACGCTGTAAACAATCTCTGCAATTGGCATACCGCAAATTACGTAGCTTATTTCGAGCTAAGGATGCTGTGGAGAGGCATCCAGAGTGTCTATCGTTTCCACCATCGTTTGGGTGTCAGGTCTCAATCAGATCGTTGCCCAGCCAATGAACCTTTTGGCAAATGTTTAGGGCCATAAATCTCGAGTCCACCTTGCTGATCTGACCTTTTGGCAATACTGCTTAGTAAAAAGCCCCAACCGATCCAGGATGGCTGCCTTCCATCTCATTTTCTGGCCTGCTCCTCACTCGGGTCATATAGGCTGCTTTGGCTTCCTCTGATAGATAGGCAACCTGGGCCCTGGGGTTGGCTCCCTACCTCATCCTGTGCCAATGGCTACCCTCTCAAAAGTGCATAGGTACTATGCCTCTGCATCATTTTCAGGGCTCATCTTATGTAGTCCTATGCTCTGTGTTGGGCCCCATCCCCCACCAGGGGCACTTCTCACCTTCTTTAGGAGCTGCTGCAGGATGCTAGCTTGTTCCCTTCTGCAGTCCTGCAAGTTCTGCTGCTCTGCCTACCAGGCCTTATTGGAAAACCCTTTCTCTGCAAGTGGTGGGATGACTGAAAACTTTGTAGGCCTTCTGCCTCTTCTCTTATTTTACCAGTCATCACAGAACCATCAAACACTTGCACTAGCTCAGATCCCAGACAAGCCCTTACATGTAACCAGTCCTCCTTGGCCCCATGTTCTGTTTCAACTGGCAAACCACACCCCTCAATTAAGCTCAGCTCTGCATAGTCAGCTCCAATCTGTTTTGCCTGATTGGAGCTGCTGTGAAGAATGCTGACACTGGTTTTTATACCTGGCTCCTGGGCTACTCAACTTTGGAAGCCCCAGGGGCCACAGTGATACTCACAGCACATGCTGAGGGCCGCAACTTAAGTGTGGCTGCAAATACATGCAAATTTATATGCACATATCCTCTTTCACACTGATGAGCATGAATACAAACATTAAGCCTTAAGCTGTAGCACCAGACCCAAACGTGGCCAGTGTGAGCCAGTCAGCACCTCTCAGGCTCTGCCCACAAGACTAAGCAGCCAGCACTTCCCGCAATGCCCTGGTGCTCCCTGGGGGCTAGAAACACCCACACCCTGTACCTGTCTGTTCCAGCCAGCCCGTCCGCTTGTGTCTTTCAGTGCTCAGCCTGCCTGGGAGACACCCCGCCATTGTGGAGCGTGTTCCCAGTGGAGGCCATGTTCAAAGGATTCTACCTGCCAGCTGCATGTTGAGCCCCACGTAAACCCAAACTGCACCGCAGGCTGCAAACAAATGGGCCGCAGGCCACATGCAGTCCACGGGCTACGTCTTGAGTAGCCCTGCCTGGCTGTCTGACACAGACCTTGACAGTTCATTAGGTTTAGCCTCCTGCGTAAAGGCAGGGCCAAGTAAACCTAGACTAACTCTGAAAGGCATTTGTCTAACGGAACCTGTTCTTAACAACCTCCAATGCGGATTCCACAACTTCTGTTGGAAGCCTATTTCAGAGCCTAGCTACTAATAAAGTTTTTCTGAATACCTAAGAAGAAAGCTAATGAAGCAGAGACCTGCCAACTGAGATGTCATCAGCATTTGTTTTGTTTTAAACAGCATTTACTCAGGGCATTTTTTCCCCTCTGTTCACCTTCCCTTTTTTCCTTACTCCCTCCCTTTGGTATTCTCTTCACGTTCCTTGTCTCTTTCAGCTAAATTACTTCCCATGGAAACGCCACTCAAAATTTAAAAATAAAAGGAAGTAAACCAAAAACGTACGGTGCTAATATGGAGTTTGCAGTTGCTTGTATGTTATAGCCCTTTGTTCTCTGTTTGTGGCTATGTCTAGACTACAGGCTTTTTGCGCAAGAAGATTTTTTCTGAAGAGATCTTCTGAGAAAACTTCTTGCGCAAGAGCACATCTACATACAAAAGCACATTGACAAAGCGATGCGCTTTTTCGAAAGAGAGTGTCCAGACTGATTGGATGCTTTCTCACATAAAAGGCCACTCGGAACTACTTCACGCTGGGGCTTTAGGTCTCCAGTTGCTTTTGAGTGCTGATGCCGGAGCCCTTGCAGAGACGTGCTTAAAGGGACCTCCATGGACTGCAGTTTCTCTGCTTCTGCTGTGTACTTCTGCTGTGTACTTGTGCTTGTCTACCTCTTTGAGGGACAGCAAAGCTCTCACAGTGCCTGCTGTGGTTGCCCTTTTGTTTTTGGACTCCACAGCTTTTTCCTTTGAGCCATGGAGCTGGAGCTGACCCTGGGCATGGAATGGCCCCACATGGCCACGCTACAAATCTTGCCGCACTTAGTGCCAGCTGCCTTACTGGTCCTGCACAAGCTTGACCCCGAGCTTATTCTGGGGACCCTCTCCCTGGCTGCAGCTGCTACCACACCCCACAGTCGAGAGAAGGTTCTGGAGGTTGGATACCAGTTTGGACTGTGGGACCGGCTGGTCCTGGAGTTTGGACTGTGGGATGACCAGCAGTGGTTCAACAACTTCCGCATGTGGGAGGCCACCTTTCTAGAACTCTGTGCCTGGCTCACCCCTGCTCTCTGAAGATGCGACACCCACCTGGCAGCCTGCCATCCCGTGGAGAAGCAGGTCACAATTGTCCTGGAAGCTGGCCATCCCTGACAGCTACCGGTTGGTGGGAAGTCTACCATTGGGGCCCTCCTCATGGAGGTAAGGCACTCTGGGGCTGCAGTCCCTGCGGGGGCAGGGGAGGAGAAGAGTTTTGCATAAGGTGGCCTGTGAGGGGTTCAGGGTGCGATCACCCCCTCTCCGCCCGAGAGGGGGGGGGGTCTGCGGACCCTCTTGCCCTCTCTTGGTCCCTCGTCGACTCCTGGGTCCCCGCTATGGGGCCCACGATTTTGGGTGCGATCACGCCCTCCCAGGAGGAAGGGGGGGTCAGTGAACCCTACAGTAGTTACCCGTCCCTGCGGGGTGGGGCCAAGGCCCCTGGTCTGGGTTTTCCCCCTTGCAGGGTTCCGCCTTGTATCTCTCCCTTTAGGCCCCAGCCCGGGGCCCTGAGCGTCAGGGCTTGCTAATGCCCTGGCGCGGTGGACGGGGGGTCACTTCCTCTGAAACTCGTCCACCCATGAACGCCAGAAGTGTCCTGCCCCGGGCTCCTTCCTCCCTCCTGGCGGCTCTTGGCGATGCCGCCTCCAACCCCAAAACTTATCGCAGCTCGGTCGCTCGGCTCCGGGGTCGTCCAGGGGAAGTCGCCGGGGAGAGCTCCCTTGGCCGGGTCCACCCTCGGCTTGGCCGTTCCCTCCGGGTCTGACGCGGTGGGGTTCG